ATCACTAAAATGATGCAGCCCTTTTGGCGTTATAGTCTTTAGCAAGTCAAGCTTTTTGGCCGCCATTTCGAAACGAAAGAACAGATATTAATGAAATGTATACAAGAAACATTCCTGAATCTGATTATAACGTTGTATTAAATGTCTAAAGCAATTGATAACGAACTTTCGGTGATTATCGGTTTCGAACAAATTAACAGTTACTTAAATACACTGTTTCAAAAATTTCGTTGTTTTAAAAACTCGTCTATAAATACTAAACTTTTTTTTCTGTTGGCATTACACACCATTTAGAACTTTTGAGCCCTTAATAAGCCTGCTCCATCTCTGCCTGTCTTGTGCCTTTTCTTTCAATTTATATGTATGCAGCTCTATTGCATCTTTGATACAATACTATACATGGGCAAGAAAGACAAATAAAGAACTGCTTACAAAAACTGGCCAATCAAGATACCATGATATGAAAGCACGGAGGTTAGGATGGGTGGGACATGTAGCTCGTAGCAATTCATCTGGAATTACGTAGAAGACGAAAAAGCAAATGGATGGATAGCTACTAAACAAAAAAAAAAAATATATATCAGCTGAGAAACAGAGGAGAAAGATGGAATTAACTGTTTTGTCTTTGCCTACTTAAATAATGTTGTAATTAAAACAATGTTTTGCGCTCCATTGACTCATCATCAAGTTATCTTTAAATAAAGAAAAAATATTTTATTATGAACTAATGATGAATGATTTTGTAAGTTATTACTTGATTTAAATTAGAAACAAACCTAAAATCCTAATAAAGATTTTCAACAAGATCTCTCACTTATATAACCTAAATGGCTAACTTTTATCATATTATATCTACTGATTACGTTTTAATTAGACATCATTCCTATCTTGTAATAGAGGACTCCAATTTAGACATTAGCTGATCAGTTTAACAAGGCAATGGGACCTCTCAGCTAATTCTTGATCTCTTTGAAGGTTATACATAATGAGAACCGACCTGGTGGTCTCCTGCGCGTTAGAACTCTCCACACTAATTCAAATCCTATGAAAATTATTTATAAATAAATATAAATATAAATTAATGAAAGTCAAGAAACTCAGAACTCAAAATTACCATCCACCATTTGTCTCACAATGGCGCTTGATCAATGTTTTCATCAGTATACATAGCTTAAAAAAAATAATGATTCATTCTGTAATAATCTGGTGCATTTTTTAATTTGAACATTATATTTTGAATATATATTTATATATATATATATATATATATATATATATATATATATATATATATATATACATATACATATTTAATATTTGAACTTTTGAACTTTATCGCTCCTCAGTAGGAACAATGACGAAACTAAAATTCATACATTTTTTTAAATTCTTCTATCCAATGTAAATTATAATTTTTTTTATATTATATAAATAATAATATCTTTTTTTTATTTTTTAAATTGATGTTCCCAGTGTAAAGTTCATCTCTCCATTCAAGTTTTATTTATATTATACTATAATGTCAATTCCATTAAACACATATTTCAACGTATTTAAAAACTTTTTCGACATTTTACGATTGAGTCATTTTTTCACCGAATGAGCAATATGGTATTTTCAATTGGCTTTATGCATGGACATATTAGCCAATATGGCAATCCATAAAAATGAAGTGCTAAACAGTCTATGTTATTTGATATGATAAGCTTTAGCTAAATAAGATGTAAATAATTTCTGGTCGATGAGTTAACGTAGGAATTGTTGTGGGTGAAATATGGTCTCTCTAGTTAGCTAAAAATGACACATTCGTTACAGAAGAGATTACATTATTTTTTTTTTTTTGCCAATTCAATCGTCCATCACTATAGAGTCAGATTGTGATTATACTAATGACGAAGACAATAAATTACTTTTAATGTTTAAATAATACGTATCGTTCTTATAGTAGTAAGTTGACAAAAAAAGTCTCAATTTAGATTCCTCGCAAGTAATTTAACATATCATTATTTATATTAAAAATATTGATTTGTACTTAAAATAATTCAATAAAATAATGTTAAATGGACTTTTCTTTTTAGATTTAATTTACTATTTACGAATAAAAAAAAGTTTTTTCTAAGGATAGGTTCGAGGATTAAAATATTTTTATTGGTAAAATATCATGCAGGCTCATTACTTATATCTACTTAAAAAAAAGTTACATAATGGTCTGCTTTTCATTTAAAAAAAAAAAAAAAAAAAAAAAACGGCATATATATATAGGCATAGAATTTCTTCCTTTGAGTATTATATTTTAACATAATTATTTAAGAATTTGAAGAAGCAGCGGGTAAACTGGGCCTTAGAGTTAATGGAAATAAGACGGTGTATATGAAAAATTCATAAATGGAAAAGGAAATGAGTACAGAAATAGCTTTAAGGGTTCGCAACTTTAGGTCTGTTGACCAGTTCATGTACCTTGGAAGCCTGGTCACATGCAGTAATAAAATAGAGAGTGAAACTAAGGACAGGATTGCAGCAGGAAATAGATGCTATTTCTCACTGAAAAGAGACTTGAAGTTCAGGTCACTCTCTAAAAGAAACTCTCATAAACTAAAATTCTCATATACAAAACTATAGTAAGGCCAGTGGTTATGTTTGGGTGTGAGATTTGGACCTTAACCAAAAACTCAGAACGGACGCTCAACTCCTGGGAGGGAAAAGTATTGAGAAGAATATGGGGCTGAATCTTTGAGAATGGAATTTGGAGAAGAGGAAAGTATGAGGAGCTTGGTGAACCTGATATTGTGCCATTGATAAAAAGAGCCAGAATCAGATGGTTAGGTCATGTGGAAAGTATGCCAGAGCAAAGAATGCCAAAAAGAAGCCTGATGGAAAAAGAAGTAGAGGGCGCCCTCGGATTAGATGGCTGGAGGATGTTGAGGACGATCTGAGGGGGCTGAACGTTCGAAGATGGAGGGAAGTAGCACAAGACCGTGGAGATTGGTTGGCTGTAGTGGAGGAGTTCTGGGTTCTTGCAGGACCGTAGCACCATTATAATAATAATAATATTTAAATTGGGAATTAGGTATCTTAATTACCAATTTAAATAATTATGTTTATATATATATATATATATATATATATATATATATATATATATATATATATATATATATATATATATATGTATATATACTTATCTATAGTAAACCATTCTAAAGAAAGCGGAAACTACAAAAAAATACAGTTTCCAACAAAATTAAACCAGGAAAAATGAAATTTAATTACGGATCCCTTATTTCCTTGTTTTCAATTATAAAGTCCTGTTTAGGTTGAAGAACAATCTCATAAAGTTAATAAATTTAATTAACCGCGACATACTGAATTCGGAGAAATTTTGTTTGCTTTTACTTAAATTTTCGAAATAAATATTTCGTCATATCTTTATTTATGACAAGAGTAAAAGGCAGACTAAGACGATAAAAATTTAAAAATAAGACCAGACTGTATGTTAGAAGAGAAGAGGGACTTTTTTTTTGGCATTGGAATTTTCCATACAATCCGTATAAAATTATTCAGTTGTGTAACTATTCTTCACTGTTTTCGTTTTAAATGTATCTACTTATTGAATTCAAATATTGCATAACATTGATAATTTCCTCTGGCTCGATGTTAATAATATTTTATTTAGAACGTTATCATGCTATAAATTTAGAAAATATTCCATAATAATATAATCCGTGGTACAGACCCCTTTATATCGAATTATTAATATCCGCCTAAACCTTCGTAAATGAATTTATCTCATCGAAACCTACAACTATTTTATTTACGAAAACTCTTGGAATTGGTGCTTTTTCAATTTGGCAGAGGAAGACTTTGTCCATTTAATTATTTACTAAAAACTCGTAAATAACCATTTGCTTTCTACTTGGTTAGTAAGATAATTTTATCATAAAATCGAGAAATGAGGTGACCTTCACAAATATTGAGCCGTTTGGCTTGACCTAATTAAACTCCCAAATATTGAAAATAACGATGTTATATAGGACAAACGGCCCAATATTTTGTTAGGCCAAATTATCTTACAATCCAAGTAGAAAGCAAATGGATATTTACGAGTTTTTAGTACTTACTTAAAACTACAAATTTTACTAGACAATTTGCATTACTATAGTAGGGCAAGTTCCTAAATCCAACCAACGATGTCCTCATTGATGGCTTCACCAATCTATCAAACCGTTCCAAATTTTATCGATGGATTTTTTACTATGGTTATATTACCTTTCTTGAGTGTCAATCTTCCTCTCGAATCCACTAAAATCGTTCATTAACTCAGCATAAATCGTTGTTCATCGGTGTATATTGAAGGATTTCTTTGATGGAATCATCGCTGAATTTAGAAATGTTAATAAATAATGGACATTTTGTATTAAAGTAACTAAATATTTTGACAAAAATTCTAACATTTTCAATATTAACAGATTTTTAATAGCACTGTAATACATCGATGCCTGGGTACCTGCATCGGATCTTTTTCCTGAATCCGGTAACTCGATACCAAATACTTGTTCGACAATGGCTTGTTTAAACGATTTAGTAAGGCATATAAAGTTGTCAGTTCGTTCAGGGCACAACTTTGACTTGAAGCAGCCCCCTTAACAACTCCCCAGGCAACTTATTGAGCATAAGTAACATTAGCTCCAAGGAACTTAATGATGACTACATTTTAACAACATTCTTGGTTAACTTCGTACAAAGTTATGGAGATAATTCTGAAAAGCAAAGCTTTGAATACATATTTTGTATAATCAACTCCCCGGTAACACTGTGGGTCAATTCAAATGGGTTACGATATTGAATTTTCTCCGAATATATTTAACATAAATGTTGTTTTCAAACTATACATTTATATCTTATTTTATCTACCTTTATTTGTATAAATTTTTACTAAACATTATTCATACATTGTTATTTTTCTTAATTAAAAATTATAATTATCTATATTTGACTAAATTCCAGTATTGAATGTCTAATTATAGTTTATAAGCACAGTTATATATGAGTACGTAGCTTGCACTACCTGAAAAAAAACAATATAATATAATTAAACATGCGTAATATATGTTTGAAAATGAGTACTAATGTTAAAATTTACGTTAATTTTACAATATATTTGCAAATGCGTAGCAACCGATCAAGCAAATGTGATGTCATTCATATATACATATATATATTTTTTTTCAAATCAAAAAATTATTCTATTTACATATATATAAAACAAAAGAAGTCATAATAGCGATTACATGCTTATGGTGACAATACCTTACACATGTTACAATAAAGTGGCGTGATTGCTATTTTCTATGATGAAATTTAATGTAAACTTTCATAAGTTATAAAAATGAATAAATGACATTAAAAACTATATACTATATACTTTCTTTAAGTTTATAAACAAGATAAAACTAAGCACACATTCACATATTTTATATATTTTTTAAATTATTAGTCAATTATTATTAGTTAGGTAGGTTCATGTGGTTGTGTATAGTGTTATTTGAAATGAACCAAGGTATATTTTGTACTTTTATACTTGGAAGTATTTTGGATTTTGTGGTTTGATTTTTTTTTCTATGTGGACATGTTTTGAGGAACCCCGAATTCTGCTCCATATGTCCAAATAAGTCTTAATATGGTGGTTTAGATTAGTCGTTTGTTTTGTGAGCTGAGTGGAGATCTATAATCCAAGAGATATAACATTTGCATCGTCTGGTCAGTTATTGTTTTTTTAGTTTGATGTCGATGCGTTGCATCTCAGTTGCAAATATTTTATAAAATAAATAAATTAATTCACATAAATATAGTATTCATAACAATTAAATTAATTTTATTTTCACGAATGAATCGTCTAGCTTAGTGAAAGGTTACAAAAAAAACATTAAATATTAACAAAAAAATAATTAATGAAGATTAATAATAGTAGGTTTCGCTTTAGTATTAATAAAACATTATTTCTCTCATTCTCTCTTGGCTATTAGAAAACTTTTTATGACATAAAATAAAAAAAAAATTAAGTTTATATAATACTAACGGTCATATATCTGTCCATATTGAAAGTCATTGTGTTCCTATAACAGAGGTTGAGAGGAATGGATGCTATAGTCATCATTATGCACAGAGATTTTCTTTCTTGAACATTTAATCTGTACCATTCGTTCTGATATGTTCCAATAAACAAATCTTCACTCTGTAAATTAAATATTAAAAAAAATATATATTATATATTTTAAGAAGAATGTCCTCAGGATTATTATGCTCATAGGTGAAGTGAAACAAAAAAAATTCACTTATTTTTCATATGCCAATCTATGCTAAGGTAGGATCGATCGATTTACAAGCTTGAAGCATGTTTGAAAATCTAGATTAATGAATTGATTAAAACTACACATTTGATTAATATTAAATATTATAAAAAAATGAATGATTTTGACTCGGTATGACATTATACAATTCAGAAAATTTCTGAAACAAAAAATTAAAACGCTTACTGCATCAGATATCATTTGCCCAGAAAAACAGACGAGTAGAGGAACCAAGAAACACAATATCAAGAAGAAGAAGACACCGACAGCTCTAGGATCGTAATTTGTCAACATCTGTAAAATAATATTTTAAACATTACTGATAAGTTTTGTCATAAATTTGTTAACTATTTTTTGAATTACCATAATCAATTGATAGCTACGAAACGTGATCGGCAAAGCTGACAAGACTATTTCGAAGAACATTTGCCCAGAGAAGAGACTGTTTATATTTCTAACAAATCTGTAAAAAAAAAATATTGAAAATGGTAATTATACTAACGTACAAAAAAAATAAATAAATTAGGGTTATGGTTGCAATCAGGTCATTGCACTACTTAAATTACTGCATTATTTTAATTTTTTAACATCCACTTTTTAATTTAAAAAACACTTAATAATAGCCTAATTACCTTTCGAAACATTACCTATAATTTATGCGAAAAATCCTTGGAAAAATAAATAGTAGAAGAATACAGAATTTAACCTGCTGACTGATGCATTGTTCCTTGCAACCAATCATATTGAAGGATTGTCCTTTTTACTATTGTCGATATCTTGGAAATGCATAAATCTGTCTTTCGATGAAAAATATCGGAATCGTCTCTACGAAGTTGAAGTGCCATTATATGTTCCTGTCATATTTTGAGTGCCCCACAATAATTTTTAAATGTTGGGAGTAAGGCTTTCAAGAAGTTTCACAATATGTATTCACAAGTCTCGATAGAATAAAAAGTTGTATTTTCGAACATAATGCTTTTAGAATTCTTCACACTTTTTTTTAGATCTTAGGCTGTGTTTTAATCTTATTAATACTATTTTTTTTTTAATTTATTAATTTTATTGTTGAATGGAAAGATACTTAATTATGATGAAGAGTATACCTAGTGTAGATTTGATTAATTGAAATATATAATCAGCCATCTAATATTTTGATTAAAATGTTCCCTATTTTTTCTTATCTTCATATCGCTTTAGGCTTTTTTTTATTTTTTAATCTTAAGTGTAATATTGAATTAAAATAATTGTAGTAAAGAATTAATAAAGATATAGATTCTATTACGTCGGTGAGGTTTGAGAATCATTAGAATTAGAAATCCTATCAATTACGTTACAAACCTGACTATTAAACGAGAAATCTTTTTCCCAGTCCGCTGGTGTTCCTCAAGGGAGCATCTTAGGTCCCATCCTTTACAAAGTATATGCAGCTGATATCCTTCAACCGTAGTCACTACCTACGCTGATGGCACATGTGTGTTATTTGTCAATAATGAACCAACTATTGCATCACAAACTCTGCAGTCACACATTTCAGCCACTGAAGAATGGGGTGAAAATTGGAGAATTAAAACTAATTCCAACAAATTACTTCGCCGTAAACCTACAACATCCTGCCCTACCATATCCTTTAATAGTATTCCACTGATCCCTGTCGAACAGATTCGTTATCTAAGACTCCTTCTTGACAAACGCCTTACCTGGAATCCTCATACTAGACTTAAAAGATTCCATTTACTACAGCACTAATCTGACAAACGCTCTAATCTTCCAATATTCTAAAAAATACTTATTTACACTACCATCATCAGACCCATTTGGACATGTAATATTGAGCTTTGGGGCTCTACAAAAATATTATTCTTCCCGTATCCAATCCAAAATCCTCCGTAAAATCCTAAATGCTCCTTATTATGTAACAAATAAAATTATCCATAAGTGACTTGGCACGAACTAGGTATACCTCTTTTAATTCCAAGCTCTTTGGTCACCCTAATCCTCTAGTTCGTAACCTTTCATCCAATACAATTCCTGACAACCCAGATGACAGATAGATCAGCAATGACCTAAATTAATTTACTTTGAAGTTTTACGAATGGGTAGCTTATTCACAAGTAAATTCATGTTATATATTTCTATAGTAGATTTACGGGTTGTATATATGTTTACAGTTGTAAATTTCAATAAAATGATAAATAAAAACAAAAAAAAAACAGAACATCATCATCGTCAACTAGTTCAAGTATGCTATAAATAGAAATTTATGTGAATAAAAGAGGGATGAATTTCCAAGAGGAAATTGACAGTATAAATCCACATTACTCCAATGCAGAAATACCCATCTGATTCCCAGTAAGCACCTGAAAAGAGAAAATGTAGAATACAAGCATCAGATATTAGATTTCTGAAGTAAATCTAAGGGAAAACGAGGATATACGATATACTCAATATAACCCATACGATCAAACGTCGTTTTTATGCCATTGGTTATTGTTATAGAAGAAAACATACTAAGGTAGTTTGAAACAAGTTCAAAGAATGGAAACAAAGCGTCTTGCCAAGATGAGATATGAGACTAAGGGATAAGATAGACGGCTCTAGGCAAGACTCAACACACCTGGGAAAGGAGTTAAAAATATGCATCTAAATTCTACTTTATACTGCTTAATACTTATAATACTGTTACATATATAATACGTAATAATTAATGTAATATATAATACTACTTAATACTAACTATGAATATTTAAAGTTATGAATGAATTAATAATTATAAGCCAAAAAAAAAAAAATAGAAATCGATTGAAAAAAAAATTGAAATTTCATAAATCTACTAAATAACGAAATATCGAAATGAATACACTTCGTTCAGGACCTGCACAAAAAAATATGTATATAAAATGAATGATTATTTTTTTAAATAATTGATCAATTAATAATTGGTTAATAATAATTATTTTTTAGACGGAAATTCCAGATGTACTAGATGTTTTTATACGAGATCTGACCTTTCTCTGACAATTCCCTTATACATTACATGTTATAGGTTTATAAGTAAGAATTTGGTTTAAAAAAAAACAAACCTGTACTACTAATACCCATGAAGGGTCTGGGGTTCAGTATTACTTAGGGAAAGCACTGTTTCTAGGTCAACGGTTGTGCAAAGGAGGTGATTTTTTGACCGAGATCACGCTCAACTGCCAGGTTTTCCCGTTAATCAATTATTTAATTAAGGGTACCCACTTTAGAGACTGGGTGTGCCCCAGGAGGGTCTCCCGATCCAGGGTCGCCCCACGGCTAATTAAACAGCTAAATAAATTTTCTGCCATGAGCCGGTATTCGAACCTGGGACACCATTGCATTGGAAGTTCAGTGCCCTACCACTGAGCTACCCCATTCCCATCTTCCCAGTATCTGACTAGGCTCTCCCTATAGGAGACGACATTATAATTTCAAGAAATTAAATGAAACAATAAAAAATTAAAATAAATAATATGACAAATCTTATAAAAAATAAGATGACATAGGATGAGGATACTATCTGAAGATGGGATATGAAAGTAGATCCCGAAACGTCATAATATAATAAAGAAAAATTTATTTTGGAAGAATAAATACTGTTAACAAAAAATCTTACTTGTATATCTCAGAAAATAAGTATCTTCCTTAGGACTATTGAAGAAGATATAGGTTATGATAGAGCCCGTAAATAAACGCAAGCTGAAGCTCATTAATGTCAAAATGGATTAGGATGATCACAGGACAGTTCTAGATTCAGAACCCCCAATCTCTTTTTCACTTAAAAGTGAAGATGGACCAATTTATGATGTGACCAAAAAGCTGCTTGGATTTTCTGAGAGGTGCCCATTTTTAGGAGGCTAACTTTTACGGAATTTCCTGAGGAGATTATATTCTTTTGGGAACTTGCAAACCAGGAAACAAGGGAAATGAAAAAAAAATATGGACTATATTCAATTATGTTACATTACCTACCTCAGAATCTTTTGGTGAAACTTGATACAAACGGTGACATCCAAGTGCTTCGATGACAACATCTTCATCAGAAATTTCATCTGGGCGGCCGCCATGAAGCATGGAACGAAATACACAAGGTAAACAGAACCGATAGTGAACAATGCGTAGGTGAAGAGGGTCACTTCGTAGACCAAGCGGCTGAAGTAGTAATATTCTTTGTCGAGAAAGTACTGGAGTGGATCCCACAGCTTGAAGACGAATTCCCTTTCTTCAGGTTCCAGAGTTAAGTTCCTGGTGAAAACGATGAGCGCGTACGACGGGGTAGTTAGTAAGAACATGCCTTGGATAAATTTTATTCGGTTGTCTAAAGCGATCCTGTAAGGTTTAGAAATTCACATTATGTTCGAATATTAGAAAAGAGAAATCCTTACAGTAGAGAACGGAAATAGTGGGCAACGTTATGTTACCCAAGGAGTAAGATGTTCCAATAAAATGCAAAATTTTTGGGGTGTCTTAAAGCGAATAGTTTTTTTGAGGAAGATGGTCCAGAGGGCGGTCATAAAAAGAATAAAATAGCGAAAAAAATATTATTATTTCAAGCCACTGTTTCGACCCGACTTTGTACGTCTTCTTCAGTGCTAGAACGAAAATGGTACGAAATGATACAAAGTGAATAAATTTATTAAAATTATGAATGGTGTGACTAGAAAGTGCATAGACACATTAAGAACAATAAATTATATAAACAAAGTAAACGAAATATAACTAAGTAGCCAATCCCTAAACTGAAGTAAATAAATGGTAACAATTATTGTAGATATGGAAAATTAAATGTAATAAGGAGGATAGATAATATATGTAATTATTAATATAATCCTACAAACCTCAGGGAAGGTTGAATGAAAAAGGAAAAATAATCAAATGAACATAAAGGAAGTGTGAAGAAAACAAAAATAATAAGGAAAAAAAAAGAAAAAAGAAAAGAAACTTACATGTGTATTCAGTATGGAGTTTCCGTTGAAAATAAGGAAAATACAAGAGGAAAATAGTTGACATGGTTGAGAGGTGGTGGGGGTAAATAAGTAGTAAATCAAAACAAAACCCGGAATATTACATTATCTAAAATTTGATGATATTGATGAATACCAGTGTATAAATATCATGTTACTTCCACATTGTTCAGTATCCTTTTGCATTATGTTCGTTCTTGCCCTGAAGAAGACCTGAAAAGTCGGGTGGAAACGTTGGCTTGAAATAAAATAGTTGTTTTCACTACATAGAAATATTAAGAACAATTAACTTTACAAACAGAGCAAACGAAGTATAACCAAGTAACTATACTCAATGAAAGATTAAAAGAAAAAGGAAAAATAATGAACATAAAGCGAGTATGAAGAAAATGTAAATAATGAGGAAAAAAAGTTTGTTTCTTTTCTCACTGTTTCAGTATTTTATTTACCCCGACCCCGGACCATCTTTGTCCTCAAAAATATACAATGGCCAACCATCAAGTACTCAATATGAATATTTTTTTTTAGCTTAAGAATTTTGTTTCTGCATATTCGCGTGTTTTTAATCTTAATTCACTCAATAAAATGAGTTAATGTTATAAAATTTTATATGTAAAATAAATGGTTCTGAACGGCAATGCTGAAGTCGGTTTTGCTTTGGGAAGATAGTGTTGCTGTATCTTAAGAGAAGGTTAAGATGGTGGTACAAGGAAGCTCAGGGATATCAGCGGTGTATAAAGAATGGAGGATTGGGCTGAAAAGCTTTCTTGAGGTGCCCCAGTATGTTGGAAGAAATAGGAAACGGAAGTGTATTTCTTAATTGTATGAGTGTAAAAAATCTTCAGACATTACCTGGTTTCATCCAAGAAATCTTCATGTTTTTTCATATCCCTCATGTCCTTCCAAATGGCAACAGACTCATCCAGAAGGCGTTTAAGCTTTTCCCTGCCTCCGAATCTGTAATATATGACCTTTGCAGAGATATGAAAAAGAGATATCAAGCATTGGAAAGATTCTGCCTTGTCGTCGAAGGAGTGATCCTCAATGATGTACACTATAATAACGGTGAAATCGACGATCATCGAGATCAGTAAAATACCAGCCAGCATCGAGAACAATCTTCCGTTTTTTGATTTTTCATTTCTCGCCAGGCCGTTATATTCCAAAAGATTGTAGAACAGTGCATATGGTCCTTGGTCGCTGTGGAAATTATATTTAATTCGGAATTATTATTTGTTACGTACTATTATTCTAATTTGAGAATGTTCAGTTATATGCGAGAAAGAAAAATGTGTTGTTGGTGATTAGAGTAGTTTATTTTTTCAAAATTTAAAATGTTTTAACAAATCGTTTGACCTATGTCAATAATTTTCTAATAACTATTAACCTTCGAATTAAATTTTAACTTTTTATTTTGAACCAGTTACGGGATGACAGTTTTTTTTTCTGTTATTTTGGAACTAGAACTTATGTTATATATATAGCTTATATTTAAAAGTTCTGTTGATTTTTTAGAATAAATCAACAGAACTTCTAAATATCAATATTTTTAGAATAATGTTGATCCAAAAATAACTTATATTCTAATCTGCTGAAAAAAAAAAAGACAAATTAGAATCACGTAACCCATTTAAGATAATTCTAAACTAAGCCAAATTTCTCATTTAACGTAACTTTTTTTCATTTAAAAGTTAAATTAATAAAAGTTAATCTTTAACTATATACTTAAAACTTTATTATAAAATGTTTCAAAAAATTTTAATTTGTAAAACTGTTTTTTCTGAAAATGATCACCGAAATTTGTTAAAATGCAACATTGAAAAAAAGTTTCATAAATATTTCAACCTTTGGTACAACTGATATCGATGAACAAACATTATTGAATATTCCTCTTTAAGAACCCGAAAGAAGTTTTTTTTTTTTTTTTTTTTTTTTTTTTTTTTTTTTTTTTTTTATTGGTGATATTTACAACTGTATTACAAGTAAAAATACATTCAGTAAATGTGAACAAAGGAATAAAATAGCATGACATCACATGTTGAGAAACTACCCATTGGTAGCACTCTAAAAATGTATTTACAAAAGGAGATCTCGAGGCCATCTTCTTTTCAGACGCCTCTGAGGGTTGTCAGGGATCGAAGAGGAAGCAAGGTTAGAAACGAGAGGGTTTGGATGGTTCTGAAGTTTGTTATGGAAGGATAGGTATCTGGATTGGGCCAAGTCAGAAACATAAGGAACATTAAGGTCGTTATGGATGATTTTGTTTGTGACAAAGTAAGGAGCAGTGAGGATTTTACGAAGGATTTTGGATTGTAAGGATTGAATACGAGAGGAATTCGATGGCTTAGTGGAGCCCCAGAGCTCAACTCCGTAAGTCCAAATAGGTCTTATTGTAGTCATGTATATGAGTCTTTTGTAATTGACTGGGAGGTTAGAGCGTTTATCTAGTAAGTGCTGGAGTAGTCGGAAACGTCGAGCTGTTTCTTGTCGTTTCAGTCTGGTATGAGGATTCCAAGTTAGACGTTTGTCTAAGTGGAGTCCAAGGTATCGAATTTGTTCAACAGGAATAAGTGGGGTATTATTAAAGGATACTGTAGGACAAGAGGACATAGGTTTACGACGAAGGGTAAAGGTGATTTGATGGGATTTATTGGAATTTATTTTTATTCTCCAGTTTTGACACCATTCTTCAAGGTTTGTGATGTGTGATTGAAGGGTTTGGGATGCAATTGTTGGGTCGTTATTAACTGATAGGACACATGTATCATCGGCGTACGTGGTAATGACTGTGTTAGGATGGGTTGGGATATCAGCTGTATAAACTGTGTAAAGGATAGGACCTAGGATACTACCTTGAGGAACACCAGCGGACTGGGAAAAAAGGGATGAATAGGCATTATTATGATTTACTTTGAAGGATCTATCAGTAAGATAGGAACGGATAATGAGGAAGTATGTAGGGTGTAAGAATTTACGGAGTTTGTAAAGCAGTCCTGGGTGCCAGACTCGATCAAAAGCCTGTTCTACATCGAGAAAGACTCCCGTGCAGTACATTCCGCGCTCCAATGCAGAGGAGACAACATCCACCACACGATGGCATTGCTGGATAGTGGAATGGGATCTGCGGAATCCAAATTGATGATCTGGGATAATGTGATTAGAATCTAGGATGGGGTACAGGCGTTTTAGGATGAGCTTTTCCAGGATTTTGCCTAGGATGGGTAAAAGGGAGATAGGGCGATAAGAGGATGGATTTTCTGGTGGCTTTTTGGGTTTATGTATCATTTTGATAATAGAGAATTTCCAAGGGTCAGGAAAGTATGTTGATCACAGTACAGCATTATATATATAAGTAAGGAATAGAATGGCTTTCCGAGGAAGGAGTTTTAGGATCTGGGATGTAATTAGGTCGTGTCCAGGAGCTTTTCGGGAAGGTAACCTTTGAATGATGTCGGATATTTCTGAAGGATGAAAGGCTTTAGGTGGAAGAGACATTTGGAGTGGGATATCCAGTTCTGCTTCAATACATTCAAGGTGATTTGGGTTAAGAATATCGGGGTGTGGATTAAAGGCTTTAAAGAGGTGACGAGCAAAGATTTGTGATTTTTCTTCATCGGATTTGGACCAGGTTTGAGCTTCAGTAAGAAGCGGATGATTACAGTCTTTAAATTTCAGGAGCCTTTTAGTGGTTGTCCATAGTGATTTGTCGATAGGTGTAAGTTTTTCAGTAAAATTTAGTAAGTTTTGAATTTTGTATTTTTTAATTTCAGATTTTAGTTTGTTAGTCAGTTGGGTATAATGAGTTTTATGTGTTGGATATCTGGTTCTATGCCACTTCGATCTTGCTCTGCGTTTTTCCTTCAATAAGATACGAATATGCTGTGGCAAGTCAGTCTTTTGTGAATTGTTAAACTTATTGATAAATAATAATAATAATAATAATAATAATAAGGCTTAGCGAACCCGAAGGTTCGATGCCTACACCACCAATCGCCTGTTACACACCTCCCTCCACCGTTCGCCGTCTAAACCCAGTCCCTTCAGATCGGCTTTAATGCAATCCTCCCATCTTCGCTTCGGTCTACCCCTCGGACGCTTACCATTCGGCACAGCAAACATCAACCTTTTAGGAATTCTCTCGTTACTAAGCCCAACAACTTTACAAGCCCATTTGATTCGCCGCGATGAAATTACCTCAATTATATTACCCGGATACATCTCACGCAATTCGGCGTTGTGTAACCGTCTGAACTCTCCGGTTAACTCATCCTTTTTCGGTCCGAATATTCTACGCAATACTTTATTTTCAAAAACCTTAAGACGCTGCTCATCCCTTAATGTAAGCGGCCAAGTTTCGCATCCAT